TTGGGGGGTTGGCTAGGGGCAGGGGGGCAGGGAGCTGCAAGGGGGGCAGGGGGTGCTAGGAGTAGGGAGCTGCACGGGGGGCGGGACCTGCTGGGGGTTGGGGGGTTGCTAGGGGCAGGGGGGCAGGGAGCTGCATGGGCAGGGGCGAGTTATTATCTGTATGGCTATGGGAGGGCTCAGGTACCAGTGGGGATGGTCTGCTCAAGGCAGGGATTGGGGGACCAAGGGCATGAGGGGAACATCTGCTTGGGGGAATTACAGAACCAGTATGTGGGGATTGGGAATTAGGGACCTGAATGGGAATGGGGGGTTGGTAGGGCGATTAGGGAACTTTATGCTTATGGGAAGGAGGGAATCTACTGCATGGATTAAGAACCAGTGTGGGTATGGGGGGTATTTGGGATCTGTATGGGCACTGGGGGGTTGGTAGGGAGATTAGGGACCTTTATGTGTATGGGGTGTGAGGGAATCTGATGGGTGCAGGGGATTAGGAACTAGTATGAGGATTGGGGGTGAGGTTCTCCTGGGTGAAGGGGGATTTGAGACCTGTATTGAGATGAATACTGTAAATTCCTTAAACAGCTTTTGCTTTAATCACAGGTCTTGAATCCTACATCACTTTAGAAAAACCTCTTGAAATTCTACCAGTAAATAAAAAGGTTAGAGGAACAGGGGAGTTCTCTGCCCTGTGTAACAAAGCTTTCCTGCTCGTACTCTGCTAATAGTTTATTTACATTACTACTACCACCATCCTCTCGCCTTCCACACATGTACAACAACAGAAGGTACTGTGTGTTTTTTTCTTTTAGCAGCCTTGCCTAATATTTTGACCCTTTAAAATCTAAGCACATTTACAAAAAAGGTGTCTCTTCAGAGAAGTTAACTCAAGTTATGTGCACTTGACTTATTTCTGTTGTGTTAGCCTATCCAAGGTGACGACAAATATGCTGCTCTCCCACACTGCTTCCACTGTAACACCTCAATGCTGCATTCAGATCCTCGCAGACGCAAGGGTCAAACCATACAGATGTGACTGAAGCATCAGGGCACACATATGCTCCATTTACAAGTAAAAAAAAAAACATGTCTAACTGACACCTCAAACTCGGCCTGGGCTCCAAGAGTCAAGCTGGTTTCTGTCCATCTCATCCACCATCACTAGTCATAGGGACAAAGATATCAGCACTTAGACAGTTCTACTGATGATGCTACAGGAACCAGAAGAAAAACTGGCTCATTTTGCCATAGCTGTATTGGCTAAATTCATGCAGATCTGCCTCAAAACCAGATGATTATACTGCTTCAAGGTGTCATTTTTACACTCAATTTTTAAAAATGTAAATAGGGCATAAAAAGTTATGTTGTACATATAGCCAATATTCTCTCTTCATTCCAGAAAATGACATTAATGATGCTTGTGTGAAGTTACCTGTTACTAACAGGTCATTTGGCAATTCATGCCACTATGAGTCGTTTGAAGCAAGACTTAGAGAGTCCCTCCATGTGCACAGCCACTCAATTTGTTTTTTTCATTTTTTGCCTTCCACCAAAGGATCTTAAGGTATTTGGTCTTTGTCTTAATGCTTGTGTTTTATATGGGGCTGAGCAAGCTCTGTGCTTAATAAATAAGTGATCACATAAAGCTAAAATATCCCAGCCTTTAACAAAACTGCTTGATTCCTATAGGATGATAGAAATTAGAGAGGATATAGCTATATTAAATGACAATCCATCCTGAAAGCGTAGGAGGGAATCTCCCCATTGAAGACATACTACTTTAATTGATACTGAATTTGGAACAAATTTCAATGCTGGAGTAAGCAGGATTATGTCTGTGATGTTGTACTCTATATGATTTTATGAAAATATGCTAATGAGTGTAAATATAATGTAACTGGAATATGCTTCATGCAAAAGGTTTCTTGTAAAGTATCATTACAAAGCTTATAATCTACTGAGTGTGGTCATCCTATTTGTGTAAATGTATCTCTCTTGTATCTGAAACTAGAAATATGAAATATAACTCTGAGGTCCTATTGTAGTTGTGCAAAGTGTGGATCATTAATGGTGGTTTGGAATCTTGATGGCTCCCATCAACCAGGACAATTGACTTTCCTGTGAGTCAGGCTGGGAGGAATGAGGGCTTGGAGTCTTACAGTGACATGTGATCATGTCAACTGAACTGGAATCCA